GTGATCAAGAAGAGACTTCTTGACGTCCACACAGAGGGATATATTTATTAACACATGGCGGTCGGGTAATCGAGTTTGAACCAAGCAAACACGTGGCGTTCGCAGTAACCATCCACTCCCCATGTTAGTACAGCATCGTTTTAATGGTAGTTAATCAGTGCAGGTGAGTCAGATGGAAGGAACGAATGGGTACGGGTTACAGGCTTTCACTTGTCACGTCAAAAGCACAGATTCAAGTCCCAGCACTGGCATAATCTAACAAACCATTCTTGGTGAGATACTACTCACTCACTCACTCACTCGTGGATCGGTTCAATACAAAAAGCAATATACTACTCAATAGAAGTTAAGGAACAATCGATTTTTTCATATGAATGGTTAATCTGTAACGTCATGAGAGATTAACTATAGTCATATGAAAACATCGAGTGTTGTTTAACTTCTTTTGAGTAGTGTATAAATGAAACCATATTCAAAACGACCAATAAACATTAAAATTATCTGATAAATACTTTGTTAAAAACTGTTGTAATTGATATTGACAAATGAGAATAATTACAAATAACAGTGCATATATTCCAGGAAAGACGGTAAAGTCAATATGTGGTAAAAGTAATAAAGTACTTTTGTTTCTCTTTCAAACTGAGAAAAAAGTGACATTAAGAGTTTCATAATAGCAACAATAATAATCATTACAGCCCAACCGTTAGAATTCAGGATGTAAAATTAATTTGCGTTGATCGTAATAAGCCTGATGGCAACTGAAATATAAGTGAGTATAGTTTTATGCCGTTTTGAGTAATAGTCAAGCAATATGAGTTTAAAACGTTGTATCCATGTGGGGAATCGAACCCGGGTGTATGGTGTGATGAGTAAACGCCTTAACCACTAAGCTAACATACCGCCTCTCTAAAGTAATAGTGTGTGGTTATAGGACGAATTATTTATTACAAGTTTGTTTCTTGCGCATGGAGCAAATTAAAACTTGAATATTCAGTAATAATTTTATCAATAATGTTCTTATGTTTTCATGAATTCATCTCCAATCAATGAACGCTTTAACATACTTTTTAAAATAATCTAACAAGGACTCGCGTTTACGTTTTTGGGGCGTATGTCTAAATGAAAGAATTACGTTTTTAACTGTCGGTAATACAAGGAGACTTCGGGTTTTTTTCTAAAAAGGTTTGTTTCGGATAAAGGGACTGATTTTGAAATCTTTCATTCAGTCATCATAAAACTGACAAGAATCAGCTTCAATCCGTTTACCTAAACCTAACCGCCCAAACCACGCTAACCCTAACCCTCTAACCTTAACCAAGGCATGCATTATAAAAGATGATATATGTCTTTAATAATCATCAATACATGTCTCACGCTGCGTTAGAAAACATGTGCAGTGAAACCCTCACAAGTAGGAAGTGACGTGACCTGGAATATTCTCTACTTTCCAATCAACCAGCAACGACTTGTGTCCCGTTATTGTTACACATCCGAACATTGATCTGAGACGCAAATACATTAAACTACGTTTATAACGAACTCAAAGGGACCTCTAACTTTAGTTTGTTATAACCGTAGTTCGTTATAAGCATATGTACAGTATAACAATAGCAAATAGTCGGGACAAAAAAATCAGTTCGTTATATCCGTCAGTTCGTCATAAGCGTGTTCGTTATAAACGTACTTTACTGTACTTACTATAATAGAAGTCATAGGGTTGAATATCTTTACTTATTGTTTAACTTTGATGTAGACTCCCCTTGCTCTTCGTCATTAACCTCATGATTGTCCCCCAAAGTCAATATCTTTATTATGTACCTGGTTTTGTTTGCTAAGGCAGTTCAGTACAACTTTTATATAGCATCACTCGCATATTCTCTGGACGTTCCCCACTCACTGTCCCTGTTTAACAGACCGCATCCGTGGTCAGTAGGTAGAGCGTCCGCCCGGAGAGCGGAAGGTCCGGGGTTCGATCCCCGACCGCGTCATACTAAAAGACGTTAAAAGATGGTACTTGTTGTTATCTTGTCTGGCGCTCCGCATTAAGGGGCTAAGGTCGGCTCGGAGTCAGTATACTGTGTCTGAGTGGGGTATTTATGTTAAACTGCGGCATGGTATCTCAGTGAGCCAGCACTATAAATCGGCAACAGTCCGGACTAGTACAAGCAGCCACACAAACGCAAACTCGTACATGCAGGTCGCTATATAAGTGCAATAATCTTGGACGCGACGTTAAACCCCACTTCACCTCACCTCGCCTGTTTAACATACACAACACACGTTCCTCTGTAGGATGGTTGGGGAAAACAAACAAACTCCTGGTAAAAATACTGAACAATAAATGTCAGGGGTCATGAATAATTTGGGGGATATGTTTTTGTAGTGAAGATTGAGCACACTGTTTCATAAAGATATCATTATCCCTAACTTTTTGTTCAGTATGTTGAAGGCTATTATATATGATTTTGTTTGTTTGTTGTTTAACGCCGCACTCAACAATATTCCAGCTATATGACTGTGGTCTGTAAAAAATCGAGTCTTGGCCAGAAAATCCGGTGATTGACAACATGAGCATTGATCTACGTAATTGGGATACGATGACATGCAACCAAGTCAGCGAGCCTGACCACCTGATCCTGTCAGTCGCATAGTAATAGACGCATCTTAATGTGTTTTGATTTGTTTGATTCTGTGATGTTGCGGTTGATAGACAAACGGGGAAAAAGCACACGATCACTGCGTCTTATTACGCACAAGCTGTTTATCAGTCTGTACTCGTTACAACATAAACTGCCTGGCCAAAAACAATATGCACCCATTTTTTATGGTGGCTGAAAACTAAACAAACACCAAATGTTATTAGATGGTCATGTACTTCATACGGGTGTCATAGCTGTTTTGGACCTCATATTTCCAGTCTTTCGACGACTGTTTTCAGCCTAGTAACGTTCTGATAATTGGTTAAATCCAATTTTCAAATGTTTTCTTTATTTTGCCCCGTAGTTAATAATACAATAACAGTTAAAACAGCTTAATGCACACAATATTCAACTCACAGAGAAATATAATGATTTAAAGGCTTCCAGAAAATGTGTAAAGGGATTAAAATTATAAAAGAAGACGAGCTTTAAAATAGTGGCGCTATAGCCAGCCGTACCCCAAAACATGACCACCCATGAAGAAGTAAATTTTCTTATTGGTTCTTCTCATCGGTAGAAAATATTATTGCTTGTGGTGTATTCTTATATTTGTGGACAATGTTATGAAAATGAGGTTAAATGTTTACGACGTTGTTGTAAACACCGCGAATCATCAATCGTCTCCCGACCCTTTAACAGCCATCCAGTTTTTTTACTCACTGACAAGATCAAAGGGATGTCCTTCCAGCAAACAGGCTGGACTGGTTTTTGAGTTTTATGCTACTTATTGCGAGGAAGTCTGTTCGTCAACCTAGATTACATATCTTGATAAATTACTCACGTTCAAAATGAATTACCTTTAATCGGGCTGTGAGAAGGTTTATCCACTTAATATTAAGTTCAAAGTTTAGGATTTCGCTTTCATCTGAGAGGTTAGTAGGTTGCCAACGTGTACCGGTGTGTGTGTGTGTGTGTGTGTGTGTGTGTGTGTGTGTGTGTGTGTGTGTGTGTGTGTGTGTGTGTGTGTGTGTGTGGCGTAGCTTATTGGGATCAGCGTTAGCTCGTGCGGCTAAAGCCCCGAGTTCGACTCCCGATATGACAAAATATTGCTGAAAAACTTAAAACGTAACATGAACCATCACATATAATTTCCATGACCAGCATCTATTTTTCTGAAATGAAAATAGTTTCCAGAAAAAAAATAATGTTGAATTATCTTAACAAAATGTCTAAAAAAGACTACAGAGGCCCCCTTGATTCCTGAACCTGCAAAAATCTAGACTTTCATGAGCTGTATTGGATATATGTTTGAGGGTCTGTATAACAGACTAATAATTCCCAACCTTCAGCTACGCGAATTTATTTTAGGGCGTTGCCATTTTAAATTGAAACATTAAACTTTTCAGATGTATAGAAATTCAGATAGTCTGCATAAGTTGCGATTGTGTGTTAATTTCTAACATTTGAAACTAAAACATCAAATGCTGCAGACGATTAAGTAGATCGTCACATTTAACTTACCTTTCAGGCTTTGACATTTGAAAAATACCTTGTAAATGTGTAACGTTACACCTAGAAACTTGGCCACAACACGGTCACCTTCAACAGAACGTGAACTTATTGATAACATAACACATTAACATTTGTAGTTAACTTTACGTAAAACTTCATATATAACGCTCTACCCACCAGCGACCGCCACCGTGGTCTGGGGTTCGATCCCATGGCCGCGTCATACCAAAAGACGTTGAAAGATGGTACTTGTTGTTACCCTGCCTGGAGCCTGGCATTAAGGGGCTAAAACAAGGAGAGGTCGGCAGGGGGTCAGCATACTGTGTCTGAGTGGGTATTCATGTTTAACTCCGGCATGGTATCTCACTGGGCTGGTAATATAACATCGGCATAAATCTAGACAAGTGCCATCAGCCACACATACACGCATGCACGTCGCTATTTAAGTGCAATAATCTTGAAAGCGACGTTAAACCCAACCTCACCTCACCTCACCTCAACTCACCTCACCTACAATGTACAACGTATCAAGTGAAGGGGCAAGAATGCTGGAGTCAAAGACGAGTAATCAGTGCTAATTTCACTCATGACTTACATGCGTATGTTGCTAATCACCCACCCAGCGCTGATTAAATGTTGGCTTCGCCTTGTTAAGTTTCCACGTTCGTTATGTTATAAGGTTTTTTTATTTAAATATATATATATATATTTTCTGTATCCTAGCATTCATTCACCCGATGAAGGAGTAAGCATATATACTCCGAAACGTTGTTCCTCATAAAAAAAGAAGTTGAAATCCATCCATATTATGAATCATATACATGGTTATGGTACATATCCCTGTTTGGCTCTTTAAGGAAATGCTAAATAAAAGCGACAAACCCCTTTCCATATTCGTCAGAAATCTCTGCCAAAACAGAGTCTGTTGTTCAATTCTGCCAATACAATTAGCATGTGTTTATGAATCACTATCAAATAGTCATAATACCAGGTGTTCTCGAAAATTCAAGCGTATCCTGACCCTCAGTTGGCACCCGTAACAAACACATGCAAAGGCACGTCAACTGTTCACCTGAAAAACACGGGAGCATGTGGTACAAGTTAAAACTACTCCAAATAGGCACCTTGTCAAAATATAACTTCCTAAAAGACAAGGAGTAGCGATATCACCCGACCAGTTCACGTAAACAAATATCCATTGCAGTTGACCAAGTGTTACAATTCAGTACATCTGACACACAACTGGCATTTGTTTCGGGTCTGCACTTCTCATGAGCAAGAGGATGTTGACACCAGACCCTAGACTCCTTCACTTTGATCCAAAGTCCTCATTCCAGCAGTGGAAGCATTTGGCTTCACTCCCACCGAAGACGTACAAGCGGCTAGCGTCTCTTGGCTTCTGTACCTTGGACAATTAAGGCCATACTCATGACTGTCAATGGAATAATAGTACGCCTTAAAACTATGTCAGCTGGATTGTCTGGTCCAGATTAAAATAATTTAAGACCTCCGTCATACAGGTGTAATATTGCTGAGTGCAGCGTTACAACAAACAACAAACAATAGTGAGTGACTGAGTGAGTTGGGTTTAACGCCGCTTTTAACAGTATTCCAGTTATATCACGACGTGTCAGCTGAATGTGGGGGGAAAGCTTGTCTCAGACGTTTACCACTTTGGTGAAACCCACGAGCACGGGTATGGTGCTGACAAACCTAGAAACATAATCGGGGTGAACAGGGATTCGAAGCCACAATAATAGGTTTCTGGCGTGGCCAAGGGACGCAACTCTGCACAGCGAATCGCGGCGCCTTAGACGACTGGGCCACCCGTGCCCCCACAACAACAACAAAAAACTATAACTAATTTCAGCAAAACTAATCAAATGTTTTAACAGTTTTCTTCCTATTTTCTATTTTTAGCTACCTCTCCGTTACACAGGAGGTAAACCAGGATACGATAACTTCAGTCTTCCGAGGGCCAAGGACACCGGAAGTGGTAAAACAGCAACCGGAAAAGGAACTCATTCTGATACTGCAAGTCTGTTGTCTCGTAGTTCGAGAGCATCCGCCAAGTCCGAGCGTAAGGCGGCCAAAAGACTCGGATTGATCTTGCTGCTGTTAGTGCTAGCTCTTCTTTTAGCGGCTGGACTTGGGGTGTTAATATATTACCTCCTCCTCAGCGGTAAGCGCCCAAAACATACATAGATAGGGTTATGTTGGTAATCAACAATGTGTCTTGGTGAACTTCAAATCCATTATCTCAAGACGACGAAACTTAATGGACTCGGCAGAATACTTATCGATAAAACGGTGAGTGAGTTGGGTTTACGCCGCTTTGAACATTATTCCTGTTATATCACGGCGTGTCAGCTTGATGTGGGAGGAAAGCCCGAAGTGGTGCAGTTCTTTACGCTTACCACTTACTTACTAACGGGATCCGGTAGTCAGGCTCGCTGACTTGCTTTGATGCCCCGTGAAGATCCGGAATAGAATTGGTCTTCAGCACCAGATGCTTGTCATGAGAGGCGACTAACGGGATCCCGTGTTCAGGCTCGCTGACTTGATTGATGCATGACATCGTATCACAATTGTGTAGATTGATGCTCATGTCAGTCACTGGAATGTCTGGTCTAGACCCGATTATTCACAGACCGCCGTCATGTAGCTGGAATATTTCTGCGAACGGCTTAAAACAACAATCAAATTTGAATGAAAATTGGGATGTGTAGGTATTATATTAAGGTTGACATAATTACTTCGTGTGTTATCATGTAGGTAAACAGGTATATTACAAATTAACCAACTGATTTCTGTCCTTTTAGATGCTCCCGACACTTGGCGCCGTGAGTATTATCCGCGTTGTCCATATTAGTATTGACAATGTTTCAAATGATTCACATTTAAGTTGAAATCTTTGCGCAAAACCCCATGTCAATCTCATCATTGATATCGGAATCTCAGTAACAATATAACCGTCATGCGTTTACGCAATATATCCATCGAAACCTGTTCATCTATCCTGTCCCTCATCCATCATTGCCAAAGTAAACCAACTGCCCAGAGATCACCTCGGGTGCTACCAATCGCCCAGTGTTCGAATGTGCCGATTTAACTCGAAGGATCCTTGGTTCGAAAACAGGATTTTCCCGATTTGCACACATTTTACCTATTCCTCCTTCACCTCAACACATTTTACCTATTCCTCCTTCACCTCAACACATTTAACCTATTCCTCCTTCACCTCAACACATTTTACCTATTCCTCCTTCACCTCAGCACATTTTACCTATTCCTCCCTCACCTCAACACATTTTACCTATTCCTCCTCGACCTCAACACATTTTACCTATTCCTCCTTCACCTCAACACATTTTACCTATTCCTCCTTCACCTCAACACATTTAACCTATTCCTCCTTCACCTCAACACATTTTACCTATTCCTCCCTCACCTCAACACATTTAACCTATTCCTCCTTCACCTCAACACATTTTGCCTATTCCTCCCTCACCTCAACACATTTTACCTATTCCTCCCTCACCTCAACACATTTTACCTATTCCTCCCTCACCTCAACACATTTTACCTATTCCCCCTTCACCGCAACACATTTTACCTATTCCTCCTTCACCTCAACACATTTAACCTATTCCTCCCTCACCTCAACACCATTTTACCTATTCCTCCTTCACCTCAACACATTTTACCTATTCCTCCTTCACTTCAACACATTTTACCTATTCCTCCTTCACCTCAACACATTTTACCTATTCCTCCTTCACCTCAACACATTTTACCTATTCCTCCTTCACCTCAACACATTTTACCTATTCCTCCTTCACCTCAACACATTTTACCTATTCCTCCTTCACCTCAACACATTTTACTTATTCCTCCTTCACCTCAACACATTTAACCTATTCCTCCTTCACCTCAACACTTTTACCTATTCCTCCCTCACCTCAACACATTTTACCTATTCCTCCCTCACCTCAACACATTTTACCTATTCCTCCTTCACCTCAACACATTTTACCTATTCCTCCCTCACCTCAACACATTTTACCTATTCCTCCTTCACCTCAACACATTTTACCTATTCCTCCTTCACCTCAACACATTTTACCTATTCCTCCCTCACCTCAACACATTTCACCTATTCTTCCTTCACCTCAACACATTTTACCTATTCCTCCTTCACCTCAACACATTTTACCTATTCCTCCTTCACCTCAACACATTTTACCTATTCCTCCTTCACCTGAACACATTTTACCTATTCCTCCCTCACCTGAACACATTTAACCTATTGCTCCCTCACCTCAACACATTTAACCTGTTGCTCCCTCACCTCAACACATTTTACCTATTCCTCCTTCACCTCAACACATTTTACCTATTCCTCCTTCACCTCAACACATTTAACCTATTCCTCCTTCACCTCAACACTTTTACCTATTCCTCCCTCACCTCAACACATGTTACCTATTCCTCCTTCACCTCAACACATTTTACCTATTCCTCCTTCACCTCAACACATGTACTCAGGCCCCGTGAGACATTCAATCATTTGTGTACACCTTCAGATCGAACCCTAGCAGACGCTTCCGTCCGCATCCTGAACGAGACCTACTCCCCCACCATGTCCAACAACACATCCCCGGCATTCAGACGGATAGCGGAACCGTTCTGCGAGGAGGTATGTCATGTTACTTATATAAGTGATGACCTTGTGGATGTATACTCTTGAGATGAGGATGGCAGTGATGGCTGTTGTTATCATAGGTAATAACACTACTACGATGCCATTGCACTAACGGTACACAAAGTGTTACATTATAATGATGGTTAATAGATCAAGTGTGATACGGTACACTTAGTGTAATATTATTATGATAGTTAATAGCTCTTTGCGATACGGTTTACATGTTGTAACATTATTATGATAGTCAACAGCTCTAGTGCGATACGGTACACATGTTGTAACATTATCATGATAGTCAATAGCAGTACTAGTGCGTTACGG